CGAAAGATAAACATACTCTCGCACTTATAATATTGGTATAGTTGGATAGTATAAATACATATTTACAAAAAATAATGTTGCTAAGCGGAAAACTCGAGAAAGGTTGGACCAATTCGGTATTTTTTTACATATGTTTTTACGGAGAGGAAAACATATATTTTTTTTATAATTATAAATTGCATTTAAAAATAGCTAGACACAGGGATACTTTTCATCCCGAAAGTAACATTTAGTTTCCTGATAGATTCTCAAAAAACTAAACTTGGTGCACGAAGACGAAGTCGCCGGCGGCTGCTAGTTATATAATAAAAACTTTAAGAAGAAGTCTTGAATTAAAACTAATATGTTTATCTAATTTGTTAAACTGTAATCTTCTTCTTCCGTCCCTGTTCCCGTTATCTGGGGTCGGGTCTCCTCACTCTACGGCGCCAGGTTGATCTGTCCTGGGTTGTCGGTTTTGGCAATTGGGCTTTCTTAAGGTCTCTTTCAATGTTTGACCACCATGTTGGTCGATGGCGGGCGGCCTCTACCTCTCTTTTGTTCTGGCAAGCTTAATGCGATTTTTACTACATGGTCATCGTCCCGTCACATGATGTGGCCATACCATCTAAGGCGATTTTCCATCATTTTGTCTGTGATTGGTGCGACTTTAAAACTCCCCCGTACGTATTCATTCCAAACTCTGTCCATCCTGGTCACCCCACCCGCCCAGCGCAACATCTTCATTTCGTTGACATGTGCCAGCTGTTCATGCGTTTTCTTGACTGTCCAACATTCGGAACCGTACAGTAAGGCTGGCCTGACGGCTGTCTTGTATACTTTACCCTTTGTTTTTATGGGCATACGGGTATCACACAGAACTCCTGTCAGCGACCGCCATTTCTGCCACGCTACATTTACACGGTGCGCAACATCGGCCTCCACATTGGCATCTGGCGTGAGCATAGATCCCAGATATTTAAACTTGTTCACAGTGGGGATAGGTGTTGATCCAATACATATGATTTCAGGAGTTGCATTTCCGCTAAAGGGGCATTTCAAGTACTCCGTCTTACTTTTGCTCACTCGAAGTCCGTACTTTTCTAAAGAGTGTGTCCACGTATTTAAAATTTCTTGCAGGTCTTTTGCAGTATTTGCCGCCAGTACGATATCGTCAGCATACAGTATGGTCCGCGGTAAAGGTGCTGGAATATGGTTTGTTAGATAGTCCATCACTAGGTTAAATAGAAAAGGACTTAAAGCAGATCCCTGATGGACACCAACTTTGACCTCGAACGCGTTACTTAATCCTGCTGGTGTTTTGACTTGTGTACTGATGCCGCTGTACATATCTTGAATTATTAATATATATCTCTCCGGTACTTTTTGCGCTCTAAGAGCCTGCCACACGAGTGTGCGGGGCACTCTGTCAAAGGCCTTTTCGAGGTCGATGAAGGCAAGATGTAAATCTGTTTTGTTTATCCTGTGTTTTTCCATCAGGATTCTGACTGCCTGGATAGCATCAGTGGTTGATCTAGACGATGTAAAGCCAAACTGATTTTGGGATACATTTGTAATAGAGGACAGGCGCTTATTTATGATCCGCTCCCAGATTTTTAGAGTGTGTGAGGTCAATTTTATGCCCCTATAATTTTCACATTGGGCTACATCCCCCTTGTTTTTGTAAAATGGCAGCAGATAGCTTTGGCGCCATGATTTTGGGATTTGTGTGGTGCCTAAGATGGTATTAAACAGTTTAGTTAGCCAGTTAACTGCCGTGGGACCGAGTCGTTTCCATAGATCGGCTGGTATCTCGTCTGGCCCTGCAGCTTTTCGGTTCTTCATGCTAGCTACTGCAAGTTTCACTTCATGCGAATCTATTTCCAGTAATGGTCCGCAGACATGTTCAAGGGGGGCGGGATCTTCGTGCGGGAATTCTTCATTTAGTAAGTGTTCATAGTATTCTTGCCAGCGGTGCATAATTTGGATATTATCTGTTAGTAAGACTTGCTCCTTGTTCTTAATGTATTTATTCATTTTGATGTCAATTGAAGCCTGATGTCTATGTTTAGCTATCTTAAGTACATCTTTTTCTGATTTAGCTGACTCTAACCTATCATAAAAAGCTTGATTTGCATTCGCTCTTTCCTGGGCTATGCAAGTTTTTGCTTGTCTTTTAGCTTCTTTATATTTATCCTTGTCATCATTTGTTTGTGAACTTTGCCACGCTTTGAATTGGGTTTTCTTGGTAAGTAAAGCCTGCTTTATTTTGTCATTCCACCATTTGGGATCTTTTCCGGAACGAAGAGGCCCTTTCGAAACACCCAATACTTCTGCAGCTTTCGTTCTACAATATTCTTCAAACTTGGACCACATAATTTCAGCTTGGTTGTACTCTGTATCCAAATCAGCCTCAAGGTAACTCTTAATATCACCTAGCAATATTTCGCCCTTAGGACCATCCAGCTCTTTCCACTTTGTCTTCGGTGTTCTATCCACCATTACCTTCAAGGCCCTTGGCAGATTATACACGGCTGCTAGGATGCGATGTTGGGATGTAAGAGATTCACCAGGAATTACTTTGCAATCTTTGAACTTCTGTTTCACAGCAACGTCGGACATTATGTAGTCTATTTGAGACGTTTTTCCAGCACTCTTGTAAGTAATTAGGTGCTCCGGCTGTTTTTGAAAGTTGGTGTTTACTATAACTAGTGAATGTCTTGCAGCAAAATCCAAGATGTCCTCTCCTTGCTTGTTTAGCATACCAAACCCAAACCCGCCATGTACATTACTGTAGGTGCTGTTAGTTTTTCCAACATGTCCATTCATATCGCCTCCTATGATCTTGTACTCATTACATGGTATGTCCTGCATTAACTCATCGAAATCCTCCCAAAATTCAGCCCTTTCTATGTCTGTACAGCCCGTTTGTGGAGCATACGCTGATATTATGTTGGTTATTTGCTGGTTGTCTAGCGCGAGTTTCACGGATATTAAGCGGTCACTCTTCCGTGTAATGTTTATTATTCGGGACTTGAATTTGTGATCCAGGACCACTGCCACGCCGTTTCGTTTATTGTCCACACCATGATATATGACCTGGTAGTCATTGCCTATGTCTTTTGATTTCGAGCCTTTCCATTTAGTTTCTTGAAGACAACAGATATTGATGCGTCTTTTTAGTAGAATTTTGCTTAACTCTTGACTCCTGCCCGTCAGAGACCCTAAGTTCCAGGTTGCAAGTCTTATACGATGTAGATTTTGATGCGAACTTTTGTTCTTGTCCAAGTTATCGTCGCTTGGGGGGTACGCCCTAGTATTTATCGCATCGTTCGCATTTACGTCGCTTATGGGGTACGCCCTAGTAGATTTGCCCTTATCCATTTTTCGTTGTACTTTCATGTTTCTATATATATTGTGAGGAGAAGATGGTACTGGCTATACTTTTTACGGCCGGCTGCCGCCTGACGCCAAGGCAGTAACTCTCTTGGAGAGCTTGGGCGCCACCGTTGGGCCGAGACCTCATCCGCCGCCATCCCTTTCACACCATCCTGCCTGACGATGTGACTCCAGTGCAACCTGGGGCTCACATAATGTGAGGCAGCTTGCCACTGGGTAATTGCCTCTTCCGCCTGCTCCACCGTACTGATGTCCTTCACCTCCGCTGTTGCAGCCGTTGAGGTCTTCACCCGTAACCCTGGGCAGGGGACCGCGATATACCCCGCAGTACTGGGTCCTCGATCCGAACTCTGCCACTCGTTCACCTCGGCCTACTGAAGTGACGAGTGCCCACCCCCGTGGCATGGACGCGCCTAACGAGAATTGCCCAAGTGGGAGATAGAGAAGGTGGCTCTATATCCCCAAGGGCCGGGTTAATGGTCGTGTTTGATACCACAACCAAAGGCAATTTGTTAAACTGTAATAGCTACTCTAATTCATAGTTACAGATAAGAACCACTTAGGAAAGACATCTGCAAGCACAAAAAATCACAGAATCGTGACAGTAGCCAATTCACATAAGAACAAAAACAATCATACGACAATTAACGGATCGTTTACAATCTCGTTCGTGTTGATTGTTGACAGCCGCGATAGCCACCCATCATCCAGCCGCCCAGCATCTTGGCATGATTCACTCCGATATCCGATTAAATGTCGGCTACTGGCTGTTTTGAACGCTTAGAATATTATACTTATCAATGACTTATTTTTATGCCATGCAATTTGAAATTGTAACCAAACGACAACTACTTACATAAGTGGTTTCTCTCGATTAGAAAATGTTATTGTTTTAAGGAGTGTGGGAAAGTTTACAAACAGGACAGACAGTTACAGGCTTGGGACAGACAACGGCGTCATTTTAATTTTAGCGCTGTCCCAGCGGCCCAAACATTAACTTTGACAGCTGCTATGAATGTTTCTATGAAAACTATGCAGAGCCCCTACCGGAACAAAGAACAAAGATTACGGATCTGTCAAAGTTCGTGCCTAGGCCCCAATTAAATGACTCTGCATAAAATTATTTATTCTCAGTTAGATTCTCCCTACCTGTTGTCGATATATTAGTTTTAATATTAATTATCGCTTTAGAAAGCCTATGATATTTTTTTTTCCTGTATATCTCAATAAAATTTCTTATTATAACCCTCTATGACGTATGTGTCGCCAATATAATGAACTCGTCCTTAATGGAGCAGAAATAGATGTATTTGGTCGTAAATCTTTAGTATTTATGAAGAATGTAATTGCTAATTTGTAACATTTATAATTATTTAAACTATTGCTAGTAATCTATTTAAATATATATATATATAATATGATTTGGCTGTAGCTTACCATGTCAAGCAATCTGTTATTATTATTTAGTCACTCAGTATGTACATATTAAAGGTTACATCCTTGTTTTTTGTGTGATAATGAAGATAATGTAATTTTGTACTGAATGGTTGTCACCTATTTGTTCATGAAATAAATAAATAAACCATAGAAAATCTTAACGTGTCTTTTTTGTACCTCAATAGGTCCACGGACACCGGAGTAGACATAGAAGGCAGGGCGCCGGTCTGTACCTGCCTTCATCGTACGTCCTTCCCGGGGGCGAAGGCTCCGGCGGCTGGGGAGACTGGGGCACTCCCTCCCCCTGCTCGAGGACGTGTGGCGGGGGCGTTGCCAGCCAGAAAAGAATATGTATAGCGAAGTGAGTAGCTCTAATATCAAAGGAAACAGACATAGACATATAAGGCAGGGCGTTGGTCTGGAGGCTCCGGCGGCTGGAGTGATTGGGGCACTCCCTCCCCTTGCTCGAGGACCGTCACCAGCCAGAATTTGTTAATTTGAATATGTACAGCGAAGTGAGTAGCTTTAATATCAAAAGAAACAGACATAGACATAGAAGGCAGGGCGTCGGTCTGAGGACTCCGGGAGCTGGGGGTACTAGGGCAGTGCTTAATGCGTCCCCCTGCTCAGAAGGTAAAAGTGACTAAGTATACCAGCAACTAAACAGTAACATCGTTTTCATCTGCCTATTAATACACTTCTGGGACAAAGGCCTTTCCTACGGATGGAATAATTAATAAATAAACAGTTAATTGATCTACTTACTACTTTTATTGTATGTACATTTGTTTTCCTTATTGCATGTGGTGTTCACCTTTAAAATTTGTTATACTTAACCCATATATCTAACCATGTTTCATTAATTTTATATGTTTGTAATTGTGTGAACAAATACTGGTGATCCTAATAAAATAAAAATAAAGAGACTGTGGTATGACGCACCACACAGGCCCAGTGCGGTTTGATGGGTGCAGATTTACGTGCCTTCCGAAGCATGGTGGGTTCGAGAAAATAATTTTTTGTTGATCGGCCATTGTGAAAGTTGCGTCATTTCCATGATCACTAGTCGATCATTCATACGCACCATCGGGCTCCTGATACGGAAATAGTAATAATGACTGAAACATTAACAAGAAATAAACACAAGTCGGCTCTGGATGCTATGCTACCGACACTGTAATGGATGGCTGATAGGAAGCGCCATCTCTTCATATTGTTGGTAAATTCATTCGTCCATGCCCATACATTCGACCGGATCGCGACGGACGTTGGTTCGATTCACGCCTGACCCTTTTCTATGGATGAAGGGGGGTGAAAACAATGCTTGGGATGAATAAATTAATCTTGATCCTTGACCTTTAAATAAAAATAATAATTACTTGAATAATTAAAAGAACTAATTTCATAAAAATAAATAAAATAAGAAAAAATATTTTATTAGAAAATAGGCTAAGGCCTAAAATTATTATATTTTTGCTAAGGCCTATTTTCTTTGAGTGAAATATTTTTTCCAAGAGAACGTAGAGATTTTAAGATTCTGAATGCTGTTTTCTGCTTACAGAATAATGTTTAAGAAACACTGCTTAAACGTTTCCCTATAGATAAATGCTGAGGATAACTGAAGTGATTTGTTCCACAGCTCAGACAGTCAATGTACAGGAGGGGACACAAGATACTTCTCTTGTCAGACCCAGGACTGCCCCGACGACTCCAAAGATTTCCGCGCAGAACAGTGCTCGGAATATGACAATGTCGCCTTCAAGGGAATCAGATACGAGTGAGTACTTTTCTTATAAACTTAACTTTAAGCGAAATGTTGGATTTTAAGGAAATTTGCCTCAGATTTTTTTTTGAGAACTGAGTAATGCCTTAAGAATTTCTCAGCATGCCTTACCCATTGGGAGACTAAGGAGTGGGTATATGATTCAGTTCTAGATGCTAAATGAGCCCTAACCAGTATAAAACGGTGAAACTTCTGCACTTTCCACCATCACATATTTTGAAGACTAAGGTATCCTTATGTGTGTCGGAAGGCAGATGGAATCGTGGCATTCCTAATGAGACTGGACACGTACCCGCCGGTAATTGGTAAAAATACCTACCAATATATACCGTTACATTACTTTTTTTTTTTTTTGTACTCTACAGCCGGATGTAGGGTTCTGTCAGACTCTTACTGACTAAAACACACACGTGGGGGATGCCTATGGCCTTAGGGGCCTTTCAGGCTTCATCTGATGCGATCAACCCCTGAGAAGGGGATGATGCAGGTTACATTACAATACTCTTATCTATATACTAGCTGACCCAGCGAACTTCGTACCGCCCTAAAAAAATAGGGGTTGTCCAGCGGACAAAATTGTGAATCTAAACCATTCTCAGATCCCCTTGAACACACACAAAAAATTTCATCAAAATCGGTCCAGTCGTTTAAGAGAAGTTCAGTGACATACACACTCACAGAAGAATTATATATATAAAGATAAATCTCTAACAACAACAGCAATGAAATGAATAAATTCTCTTCTTCTCTATTTGAGCTTCGAGCTGTATCAATATTTATCAATTTATCCAATTTACGTCCGGTGTACCAGATGGATGCCGTACACTCGGGGGCCGAATCCTTGCGAGTTGAACTGCATGCCGCGCGGGGAGCGGTTCTACTATCGACAGCAGAATAAGGTCATCGACGGCACCAGGTGCAACGAGGAGTCCTTCGATGTCTGCGTCAACGGCACTTGTCAGGTAACAATAACAAATACTTCGGGATCGGGAAGCGACACTTTAGCAGTTTTGTTTTTCTTGTTAAAAATTGTGTTGTGGCGGATGTTAGTGTCTAATAATGGTGGATTATTAACCACTAAGTGTTCGGGAACATGCACAAGTGTTGGCAAGTGAAACAAAATAGCGGAAAGTGTCTTTCGACGTTCCCTCAAGAAGTCCATGGGGAGGTTCCAGTAAATCCCCACACTTTTACTGAAACACGGGGAAATGGGGTTTGACTTGACTGCCACTTACTTTAACTTGACTTATTACTTTGAGCACGAGTGCTATAGTATTTGTATACATTTAACACTTGACATTGGCTACATGCACAAGCCGTGCGAAGCCATTTAGAAAAAAAAACAAATACTTATGGTTTAGGTATTATTATACTAAAAGTCAATTACTGTTTGGTGAGAGTTAGGGAAACCGTAATTTACCGTGGCACCATGATAAAATGCAACTACATTGTCTTAAACCCAGACGCACATGACAATTATGTTTTCTTTAATCCAATAGTTAGTTAGTAGTCACATAGTTGAAAAGGACTCTAGTTGGATTCCCATAATTTCCAGCTTTTTAAAGCTAGCTCTTACCTACTCGTAACTATAACCTCAAGTACAATATGTAGCACTAAAAGCTTTTGAAATGAAAACTTCTTTAGCACCGTTGTGATTTGAAACTAGATGAAACGAAAATTTAACAGTATTGACACAAGGTATCCGTAATTTTGTAACTCTTTGCATTAGACAGATAGCCGAACGGTAACGGAACGGTCTTGGAGTCGACACCAAATGATCGGTAGTTCGATCCTGAGCTCGGTTATTTTTTCTTTTATTAAGCTATCATTTATTTTTCGAAACAATTTAACTAAAGAATATTTAATTTTGGCCAGTATTTTACAATACCTGAATAGTTGAGTATTAAACGTTTAGTAGATGCCTTAGATTTTTATTAATACAGGCTTTTTTGGTTGATTTTTATCAACAATCCTTACCTTTCGAATGTTTGCAATTTTTTACAGTAATGTTTTTTAATAATATATATTTTATATTTCGAAAAAACTTAATATAAGAAAAACATAACAAAAGAAATAAAATATAAATAGTTGGTAACAAATATAGGCGCGGTCGGCTGAAGGACTTTTACGTATTCATATTTTTGTAAATTTCACTTCTATCGCATGTGTACAGCACATGCCCGTTTTTTTACAAACAGTATTCCTCTGTTTAACTCATAATTTACAAGTGTTCCTTTTGTGGCAATTCAATAACAAGAATTTCTTCACCTAGTAGTTCTTGCATCAAATAAGTCTTTAATTTGGTTATAGCCGGTCGGATGCGACATGATGCTGGGCTCATCAGCGCGCGAGGACAAGTGCCGCGTGTGCCGCGGGAACGGCGCCAACTGCCACACGGTCAACGGACTATTGGACACGCAAGATCTCAGAAACGGTACCGCATACACATAAATAAATAATGAGAATAAATATTTCCAACGCTCACATCAATTAACCGAGCCTCAATTAAGCACTGTAAGGGTTTTGCAGGATAGTAGGGTAACGAAATAAATACATCACATTTGTTTTTACTGAACTATTAATAAGCAGCCATGAATAAAAATTCTCGTATTCATTATAAAAACCTTTGCTTGATTTGGATTCGAATCCAGAACCTCTGAGTAAGCGACACCTTGAAAACCGGTGTACATACGATGTAACCAAACAAACTACTTTATACATTTTAAAATACTTTTTTTACAGGTTACAACGATATACTGCTCATTCCTCAGGGTGCAACGAGCATTTATATTGCAGAAGTGAGAGCGACAAGCAATTATTTAGGTGAGTTGTTGAACTGCGTTAATTTTCCTTAGAAACTTACCGTATTTTTCATGTAGTTACAGTCCCCCTTATTCCCCTAATAAAATTTACATTAATTGCTGACGATTTTTGTGTTTTATTTCTCAAAAAAAATTACTGACGGTTAAAATACATTCAACCAATAATTTATGCATACTTATTTTGATAGCGATCCGAGCAAAGAACAATACGTACTACCTCAATGGGGACTACCACATCGACTTCCCGCGAAGCATCATCATCGCCGGCGTCACGTGGCACTACGAACGCAGTCAGGACGGTCTGCCTTCCCCCGACAAGCTGCGATGCCAAGGTCCTACTGATGAGCCGCTGCTACTCTCTGTAAGTACGATATTGCCCCTAATATTAGCATGATTACCGGAATCACGTGGCAATACGAACGCAGGCCAGGACGGTCTGCCTTCCCCCGACAAGTTGTGATGCCAAGGTCCTACTGATGAGCCGCTGCTACTCTCTGTAAGTACGATATTGCCCCTAATATTAGCATGATTACCGGCATCACGTGGCACTACGAACGCAGGTCAAGACGGTCTGCCTTTCCCCCGACAAGTTGCGATGCCAAGGTCCTACTGATAAACCGCTGCTACTCTCTGTAAGTACGATATTACCCCTAATATTAGCATGATTACCGGCATCACGTGGCACTACGAAAGCAGTTAGGAGGGTCTGCCTTCCCCCGACAAGTTGCGATGACAGGATCTTTCTGATGAGCCATTGTTACGCTCTGTTAGTACGACTCTGCTTCTGATATACGCATGATTGCCAGCGTCACGTGGTACTGCAAACGCAGACAGGACGGATTGCCTTCCCTCGAGAAACTGCAATGCCAAGGTCCTACTGATGAGCCACTGCTACTCTCTGTAAGTACGATATTGCCCCTAATATTAGCATGATTACCGGCATCACGTGGCAATACGAACGCAGGTCAGGACGGTCTGCCTTCCCCCGACAAGTTGTGATGCCAAGGTCCTACTGATGAGCCGCTGCTACTCTCTGTAAGTACGATATTGCCCCTAATATTAGCATGATTACCGGCATCACGTGGCACTACGAACGCAGGTCAAGACGGTCTGCCTTTCCCCCGACAAGTTGCGATGCCAAGGTCCTACTGATAAACCGCTGCTACTCTCTGTAAGTACGATATTACCCCTAATATTAGCATGATTACCGGCATCACGTGGCACTACGAAAGCAGTTAGGAGGGTCTGCCTTCCCCCGACAAGTTGCGATGACAGGATCTTTCTGATGAGCCATTGTTACGCTCTGTTAGTACGACTCTGCTTCTGATATACGCATGATTGCCAGCGTCACGTGGTACTGCAAACGCAGACAGGACGGATTGCCTTCCCTCGAGAAACTGCAATGCCAAGGTCCTACTGATGAGCCACTGCTACTCTCTGTAAGTACGATATTGCCCCTAATATTAGCATGATTACCGGCATCACGTGGCAATACGAACGCAGGTCAGGACGGTCTGCCTTCCCCCGACAAGTTGTGATGCCAAGGTCCTACTGATGAGCCGCTGCTACTCTCTGTAAGTACGATATTGCCCCTAATATTAGCATGATTACCGGCATCACGTGGCACTACGAACGCAGGTCAAGACGGTCTGCCTTTCCCCCGACAAGTTGCGATGCCAAGGTCCTACTGATAAACCGCTGCTACTCTCTGTAAGTACGATATTACCCCTAATATTAGCATGATTACCGGCATCACGTGGCACTACGAACGCAGTTAGGAGGGTCTGCCTTCCCCCGACAAGTTGCGATGACAGGATCTTTCTGATGAGCCATTGTTACGCTCTGTTAGTACGACTCTGCTTCTGATATACGCATGATTGCCAGCGTCACGTGGTACTGCAAACGCAGACAGGACGGATTGCCTTCCCTCGAGAAACTGCAATGCCAAGGTCCTACTGATGAGCCACTGCTACTCTCTGTAAGTACGATATTGTCTCTGATATCACCATGATTACCGGCGTCACGTGGCACTACGAATACAGTCAGGACGGTCTGCCTTCCCCCGAGAAATTGCAATACCAAGATTCTACTGATGAGCCACTGCTACTCTCTGTAAGTCCGATATTGCCTCTGATATTAGCATGATTGCCGCTGTCACGTGGCACTACGAATACAGTCAGGACGGTCTGCCTTCCCCCGAGAAATTGCAATACCAAGATTCTACTGATGAGCCACTGCTACTCTCTGTAAGTCCGATATTGCCTCTGATATTAGCATGATTGCCGCTGTCACGTGGCACTACGAATACAGTCAGGACGGTCTGCCTTCCCCCGAGAAATTGCAATACCAAGGTTCTACTGATGAGCCACTGCTACTCTCTGTAAGTACGATATTGTCTGATATCACCATGATTACCGGCGTCACGTGGCACTACGACCGCAGTCAGGACGGTCTGCCTTCCCGCGAGAATCTGCGATGCCAAAGTGCTACTGATTAACCACTGCTACACTCTGTAAGTACTATATTGCCTCTGACATTAGCATGGTTGCCGCCGTAACGTGACACTACGAACGCAGTCAGGACAGTCTGCCTTCCTTTAATTAGTATTGTTTAGTCTGACACATTTTATTTAAACTACTTTTAAGGGGTTAATGCACGAACTTTATTTATTTATTGACGTTTCGCAGCCTTTTCAGGTCTGCATCGTCAGAATAATGACAAAAAATCATTATTCTGCATTAACCCGTTAAAACTAGTTTTATTTAATGAGTGATGTGCGTGAAAACATAAGAAACAAAAACATTTTATCTACTTTACCTTGACACCACCTGGTATTATTAACCTATCTGGGTTGATTTTCCATGACTTTTGCATTTTAAGTTAAGGGAATTAAAAAAACTTGTAATATTTTTCACTAGCTACTTCTTCAAGAACCAAACGTGGGAGTGGAATATGAATACAGCGTGCCATCAGCTATGGCGCCGCCACCGAACGCTCAGTACAACTGGGTGCACGACGAGTTCACTCCTTGCAGTGCTTCGTGCGGTGGAGGTAAGGAAAGCGTCCATATTGGTCTATGAGTAATAACGTCTCTCAAAGACGTACAGCTTTTAGAAAACAAATAGCCATCAGATCTCTATGTGTCGCTTTAACAGTAGATCCAACGGGACAGGGAACGTTCAGTCCATTCTCTACGTCTGTGTAGCGAATGTTACACACGCAAGCATGATTGCCGAACGTTACACGCGTTCGCTACTCACTCAAGCTAGAAGAAAGAAAAAATAACCTAATAAATTTTGAAATTGAATTTTAGTGCATATCGAACTTTATGGCGGATGTGAAGTTAGCAGCGAGCTTGATTATGCGCAAGCAAGTTTCAGTTCAGTGATACCCCCACGCGTACCTAAATCACCCTACATTTCATTTTCTGCCTTACTTCCAACCGCTATTAAGTTTGAATTGCACTTCACGTATAACGAAACATGCCTCATTAATTCATACAGGAGTCCAAGTGCGCAACGTAACGTGCCGTTCTCGCGAAGAACTGGAAGTGGTAGAAGACGCATTGTGCGAGCCGATAGTGAAACCGGTATTGAATCAGACCTGCAACACGCAGGCGTGCCCCGCGCGCTGGGTCGAAGGCCCGTGGAGTGCGTGCTCTAAGCGATGCGGGAAAGGAGGAAATAAGTCGAGACAAGTGCACTGCGAGAAGATCATAGCCAATGGGTCAGTACACTAGTAATCTAGCACAGATAGCTTCACCGAAAATCACATTCTGTTCATCCAAAGCAGCAACATACTGGCGTGTCCCGTCAAGCAGCGGCAGATCCCGACCAATGCACTGTGGGAAGATCAGGATCAGTACATTAGCAAAGATACTTTTAGACATTTTATTCATCCAAAGCGGCAATACGTAGGCGTGCCCCACGTTCTACTGGGTCGAGGGCCCGTGAAGCGCGTGCTTTACACGTTGCGGGAAAAGAGGATACAGTTCGAGACAAGTGCACTGCGATAAAATCATCGCTAACGGGTCAGTATTGTTGTGTGATAACATGGACAGACATAATATTCTATTGCACAAAAGTTAAAACACGCAAACCTGTCCCACTTTAGTAAGTTTATCGGGCAGCAACAGCTGCGAGAAGACCATCGCCGATGGGTACACTAGTATAAATAGCTGCAAACAGAGACGTGTTCCTCGCGTTGAGTCGATAACTCATTAGCGCGTATTTCAGTTATTGCCTCCTAGAAAGAAACAGTTCATATATATGATTTATTTAACAGGTACCCGTCAATTGTTTCCGACGACGAGTGTTTCGAGCTGCTTGGTGAAAAGCCACCACTTTACGAAAAGTGCAACGAAAATGCCTCCTGCCCGATTTGGTTCACAGGACCATGGAAACCTGTAAGGAATTAAAATTTATGAAGTCTTTATTTTTTCATTGAATAATAATAATTGGTAACTATAAAAATTCACGTAAGAGAGCATTGACTTTAGCAGAACTTTGTTAATAACTTGGACAAAATAAATTATGTGTATTAAAATGGGTTTTCTCTAAAAGTAGGCACTATATTTTTAAGTAGAAAAAATCTTATGTAGACTTCAATCCAGACCAGATTCCATCTTTAACTAAATCACTTAAGCCTAACGCCATACCAGAAGTGGTTAGATGAGAGGTAAGCTAAAAGCTATTAAGCAGGTCGTCTAGCTAAACGCGTTCTCTCATTGTGCGACCAACTGTGATTGTAGAAAGCCTTTAAAATTTATGAAATGACGAGCTCAGACTTCGTCTGCGTAGTTCTATTGATTTCGCATACAAATTCCCCACCCTTTTTCACCTCCTTAAAGGATGATTTCTAGAATTAAAAGTGTTCTAATACTTAAGTCTTTTCTCGGGACTCAAACTATACGTATCTGATTCGATTCATTAGTTCTAGAACTAGTGAGATTTTATTTCTCATTTGTTCTACCGTCGAACTAGTGAGACTTTATTGTTCTCATTTGTTTGACCATTATCTATCTGTTCAACGGTTTAGGTGTGAGGGTAGCTATCAGAAAAACAGACAGATCCACTTTCGCGTTTATAATATTAGTATAGGTGGATGGAAGTATGGATGATGCCGTATATATTTTCTTGTTTTATCTCCAGTGCGACAAACTATGCGGCGAGGGTAAGCAGACTCGCCAGGTGGTCTGCTACCAGAAGACGAACGGACGCATCGATGTGTTGAGCGACGACCTCTGCGACGACGACAAACCGGACACAGAGCAACCCTGTCTCCTGCACCCCTGCGACGGGGTCGACTGGGTCATCTCCGACTGGAGCGGGGTCAGTATAGGGTTACTTAGGACTTTTTGCCTTCTGTCCGGATTATGTCCGGCATTTTTGAATTAGATGGAATATGAATAAAACTACTTATTAAGTTATATCAAATAAGTTAAATAATATTTATTAAGTTCTCATTAATTTAAAACAAAATATAAATTATCTTTTAAAATCAACAACGAGACACCCCTCGCGATGTCAGCGTCTGCTACAACGCGTATATCATTGTAACTAAGTGGGTGATGTTTGCATTTTGTAACTAAAATGTCCGGACTTTTATAGAAATGTACGGCGTTTTGTCAGGACTTTTTTTTTAAATAGTTACCCTAGGTCCGTATCAATATCGGTGGAGAGAGGCAAGGAGTTGTCGGAATGTTGTCTCCACTGATGGCACCACTTGGAGAGACATCAGGATTTTTATAGTACTGATGCTTCCCTAGGTCGGTGAGACATCAGTACTTACTGTAACGATCTTTAAGAACGTGAGTGACTGTTAAGGGGGGCGCTGTTGTCTACGTAAATGACCATAAATGGCATACAAAGTATGACGCCATATTAACAAATATTGCGGCGTTACTTCAATTTTTTTTTCATCTACTAACACGTACTGGAATAAAATCGATTGCTCCAACTAAATAACCAAATCGGACGAAATCTTCCATAGACATTGCCAGTTATCTGTAATAATTTATTTGACAACAACAACTTATTTATTCCTCATATTTTGGATTCTTTACGGAATCCGTGGTCGCAAAAAGGTCTTGCGATCACGGAGCCTGTTAGAGTTTCGAAACGCCAGGTCAGAGATACATAATAAAAAAACTTAATAATTCGAGGAATGTACAAACATATTTTACTAAATGGTAATAGCTAGCCTGCCCTGGCGTTTAAAAGCAACATTAGTGATTATTATTCACAAGTATCTATTTTTTGAAGATTATTTAACAGACTTTATAAAGGTGGAGGTTCGCAATGAGGGAGCTTAGGAAAAATTACGTCACCAATTGGCGCCACTCGGATAAGAGATCTTTTCTATGAAGTTTTTGCCGCAAATTAATCGAACGAGCGTTTAAATTGATCCATAGACTATGACGAGATACGAGATTTGCCGGAAGAGTAAACCTTAGCCCCTATTAATAAACGAGGAATAAGCTTAAACTAGTTACACTGTGTTTTGTTCATATCACTCAAAAACTGCTATTTGTCATTCAATGAACAGAGGCAAAACATAGAGTAAATAATCAAAGCTTAGTCTTCATTTATTGAAAAGGTGATAAGAGTAAACATTTCGTCTCAGTGCTTCCACCTGGCGCCCGCCTTTCCAGTCCCCGTAGCATGAGCACCACAATTTACATTATATCAAGAAAGATAAGAAAGAAAGAAAAAGATTTTATTGACCTTACACAAGTAGGTAAAAAAACAATAAACATAGCAACAAAAATAAAATAACAACAGTGAGCAACAATATGGGGAAAGAAAAGGCCAATCAGGACCCTGCCTCAGCTTAATGCTGTTAAGGTAGGAATGGAATATTCCCACCATTACAGCGCTGGTATTCTGGCAGGGCCTGTAAGAGATTGCTAGAGACAAACAGTATACATTATGAAATGGAGTAAAATACATATAAATATAATAATGCATGAACTGAGACATAAATAATTTGAGTTTATAAGATAGATAATAAATTATATTAAATAAATATTAAGGCCGTAAGTGCTATCCACGCGCCCACACAGCGACAGAACCAAGCATATCACGTTTTTCATCGCGCCTATCCGTCAAACTCCATAGTAATTTAAAAATTAAGCGTGATAAAAACGTGTTATATAATATCATATCGTGGTGCTCATGCTAGGGGTGTTGAAAACAAACCCACATTCGATTGGTATTTTTTGTGTTCCAGTGTGATAGTTGCTTGTCGAAAGTGCGCACGCGCACCGCGGTCTGCGCCACGAAGGAGGAGCAAGTTGTGAACGATACACTATGCGGGTACCACAAGGCGCCCGTACTGGAGGAAGAATGCGACAGAACCAAGCTGCCGGCCTGCGAGGTGCAGTGGTACGCTACGCAATGGAGCAAGGTAAAAATAATCAAGCTTTAAGCAACGATATTAAATACCCTAGATACACCACGTGCGCTCAAAATGTGTCCCAATCAAGAAGTGCTTGAACACCACTCAAGCACTACTGGGTTCACAGTCACGCGCGGCCCGTTGAAAAGTAAAGTTGCCGCAGGGCTCCGTGGATAAATGAAAAAAATACTATAGTGTGTAAAGTGCCGTTTTTTCGACAGGTATCAATGTTTGTAGGTTTAACACATTCGAATAATTTTGTTCTAATATTTACTATAAACTGATATAATAGAAAATATTTGTTATATTCAAATGTATGTTCGGTAATACAGACATCTCTTTTAATCGCGGTCCGTACCTATATTGCTAACAGCGCATTCAGAATTGCGCGTAGAGTCAAAGGAATAAGTTCTATATTCTTCCGCATATAACAATAAGTCGTAAAATTTTACGAGCTTGCATTTCGAACTGTCAAAACTCTTTGATGCATGCGTTTTAATGAAGTCCTTATATAGTATATATTAAAGGTGACTTTCAATATTTAAATAATGCCTTATATTGTTTTTGACTACCCGATCATCTTAAGGAGCTCCGTGGATCGTCCAATGTACCTTTTGGAAAGGTTTCGGGCACGATTTTGTTCGTGTTGGTGTATCCAGGGCATTTAATATCGTTGGTTTTAAGCATATTATATACAAATGATTTTTAGAACTTTGGAGGGGATCATCAATCTTACAATTTTGCACCGATTTCACTTAGTTTAGGGACTATTTTGGGAATCGCACATGTGTAAGCTTTTGGTTTTATAGAGTTATTGTTATTATTCAATTGAGGAGAATCGAGAAAACAAATGTGTTATTCTGTGCTGGAGTCTATAATTGCTCTTGCATTGGCATTTATTTCCATCTCCCGAATTCCCTGTTTATATTATTTCGCGCTGTGATTCAGCAGTCACGACTTTGTTAAGCTAATGATGATGACATTACTAATAGGGATGATGACGGGGTACGACGAGACGATAAAGTAAACGAAATTCCATTCAGTCCGTCAAATTATCAAAAAATTAAGGAAACTTATTTTTCTTTTGTAAATCAATCACAAAATTACAAGATAAAGCGCTTCAAACTTTGGGAAGCTATTACTCGTGACATCACTCCTAAGTAAAAATTGTACCAAGACGTGACGTCATGCGAGTTTCTATCAATCAATATAAATGTCCGTACTGTTTTGATTATGTGAAATACGTGTTCAATATTTTTTGATAATGAAAGTTAGTTATCATTCCTATTGTTATAATAATTCTTATAATTTATTTCTCAACAGTGTTCAGCGGAATGTGGTACAGGCGTGCAATCAAGGCGTGTCTTCTGCGGATTATTCGACGGCGCATCCGTGGTGAAGGTGGAAGATTCTCGCTGCAACAGTTCTAACCGGTACAACGACACGAAGCCCTGCGAGGTACCCAAGGAGAAGTGCCCTTCCAAATGGTTCGCTGGACCGTGGTCAGAGGTAAATAAATCGTGGTTATGCAGGCAAAACCAATAATGCGACATTTAACCAAATCGAGAAATCCGCTACATAAAGTTCAAAGCCCTTTTAAAGTTTTAAAGATCTTTTTAATGCAACCAGACGTATGGTCATGGTGGGCCTGAATCATTTTGGGTTAAAGTACAACTTTAATATGAAAAAGAAAAGGGAAGTCTGCAAATTATTTGTTCAAACAAAAAATGGACCATTCTTAATTGGTTTTCCCTGGTGAATAAAAATCGTGATTATCTAGAAGATCATTCGCATTACGTATAAATATCATAAATGACGTGGTAGTATTTTAAATGTAATATCTACATACTTTATAAAAAAACAAATGTACACAAAATTGTGAGCACATCTACGATAATTCCTAATTTAAACTTGGTTTTTCCTGAACTAGTTAGGAAGAGAAATATGGTAAGTCGTCAAAACTTAAAAAAAATGTACTAAATTAGTATTTACTGAATAAAAATAAAAATACATTGAAATTATTTATTAAAATGAAAAGGAGACAAAATTACGAAACGTGAACAAAAAGAAAAATTATATTAAAATAAAGGGTATGATCCAAATGATGATTAAGTTTAAAATCTTAATCATTATTTGGATCATACTCTTTATCGGAAAGCGTTGCATCAGGTAATAGATCCTTTTTATCTTTTTCACTTGGAAGTGATTTGAACCATTCCTGGTATTCTTCGGGAATAACGTTTTTTGCACATAAATTAATTAAATCTTTTTTCTTTGCGTCACTGATGGGCACAGATAGATATTGTTTACTGAAGGCATATTTAATCTGACATCCTAAACAATCATTAAAAATATTTCCGCCAATTTACATAAAACCTTAATGAATTATACAAAATGTCGAAATTATAGACAAAATTGAGCCTCTTCAATTACGCCGTGACGTGGCGTCACTAAGCGCGTCCTATCGTCTGTACCACGGCGAGTGTTCTGAGGAGTTATTCTCTCTTATCCCACCTTCTCCTTTCCTTCAGAGGACCACGCGCGCTGGCCTACGTTGTCACCGTCTAACTGTGGCCACAATTCCAACGCGTACAAAGAAATTTGGTGACTCATTTCTGTTTCACACTATCCGTAAATGGAATGCTCTGCCCGCTCACGTGTTCCCTCCCTCTTACAACCTGGGATCCTTTAAAAGAGGCGTGAAGAAGCAACATGCAGGGTGAGGATGGCTGGTGTGGCAGGTAAAACTGCTGTATCAGCTATCTTCACGTCTGGACTTCACCTTCACTTAACATCAGGTGGGGTGGAGTCATTTGTCGGTCCTATCTATAAAAAAAATAAAAAATAAGGGGCTGATTCTGTTGCTCAGGTTGGTAGAAACTTTAAAGGGTGCTTACATAAAGAAACAAGTTACCTGGCACATACAAATCTGTGCCAGGTAACCTGATTCTTAAGCACCCAAATTCTACCATACCAAAACATACTTAAACAGCAGAATCAGGCCCTTAAATGTTATTTCGACATTTTGTTACATTCTGTATACTTATACCTTATGAATCTCACGTCAAATTAGACAGTACCAGTATAAACTGGGCTCTTATTCGTACTACGCAGCGCAGGGTACAGACAAGAGCTCAGCGTATACTGGTCTATATAGGCGAATGCTACACGCTCGATATGTATCTCCATATTTAACGTGATATTTATCTAGTAATATTTTTTTATACTACACACACGATACGAATCACGTCAGTACGACAGTAAATTTCATTGAGTACACTCGTAAGTTTCGTATTACAATATAAATAAAGCTATGACTGATAATATAAAATACTCAAGACTTTGGATTGTACATAGGGTTAACAACTTTTTTTCTATCAAATATAGTATTTTCGAAGCTGTTACCTCTAAAATATAGTAGAAGGCAAAAAAATGGAAAAACATATATGATTAAAATATTTACTTTATTTTTAAAATTAGTATATATTTTGCTGCTCTATACCTTAATAATACAGTTTTTATTTTTAAGAAAGCTTTTATTGGCAAAAACCTGCTTTAAGCAAAATATAGTAGTTTCGCCTACTTTATATGTTTTTAGGAATATAGTTAGCTAGTTAGTTCTTCAGGGCGGTTTCCGCACTTAGTCCTAATTATTGGACCATTGTGCGTGAAAGGAATATATTATTTGATCCCCTAATATAGTAGGATACTATATTATATAGTAGAGTTGGCAACCTTAATTATACACATTTTCCGTAGAAGCACCAGATCGCTTGGAATCGGTTATTTTTTTAATTCTTTCCTATTTAATTCGATTTTAATGAGTTTATCTTCGCAATGACATCTTTGGTAGTCGCGCCAGGTTTAATTCTTTTTTAAATTCAAATAGTTGCTCATAGGCATTCGCCCTTTTCACTTTATTTACAGTGTCGGCACTTGAGCTGTCCCATACCTCTGGTAGTGTTTTAACACTAGTATGAATTCTTTCAAGTGCTTTTGGTTGTTTGTATGAGGTACGGCGGGCGCCGCCGCCTCAATATGCGCGTCCTCTTCCATCGCTGACAATATTAATACTGACGCAATAAATATCGATTAGAGACTAGACGCTCGATATTTATCAACGATACTTGATACAAATCGTGGATTTTAGGATTTCTAGAAATCCAGCGATCCGTACCACGATATGTGAATAATTGGTTTTCGCTGAAAGTATTTCATTCGCGCGTGTTTTAAATTCGTTCAAACAAAACACATTTAGACGCAAATAAACTTTTTGCTAGGATCAAATTGATATATACACTAATGAATTACTTCGCAGAAAAGCAAGTACATGAAAATACTATGTTTTGCCTGAAATCATAATAGTTCTTGGGTATGTTATCTTCATGTAATTTGATTTTGTAGATGAAATCACACAAAGATTACAGTAAACCCTGTGAAGGAAAACCATTTTACTGTGTTATTTTGTTTTGCATGGGATCCGAACCGGTAAAAATTTTATTATGTCAACATAAATTATTTTTATTGTAGCCTTGCACGGCTAACTAGTCTTAAAATTGGTTTTTACATGCGGTAACTTCGAAACGGAGCGTTTGATGAAGAAAAGGGTTTTACCTGCCGATAGAGCAGAAAAAACTTAGTCGATGCATGCAATAAAAAGATTTTTTGATAAAGTCGTCAAAATTGGTTTTGCCTGCATATCCACGAAATATAAGTTTGTCTTGGGCCCGAAAAGTTGACAGGATTTAAGAAGAATATTACTTTAATTCCTTTAGTGGATATGAAAATTTGTTTTGGTTTATTGTTTTGATGGTGAGCCCGATGGCGTAATTGTTAGTGCTTTTCCTCAATGGCCGGCTATTGATTGGGTAAACGAAACCTTATGATTTCAAGCCCTTCTCCTTGCTTCAGAAGGCGCAATAGGCCATTGGTCCTGGCTGCATCTACAGTCGCTAGCACTGTAGATGTAGCCGGGAAGGCCTGTGCCTCAGTAGTTGGGGCATTGATAAGCTGAAAGAAAAAGCGATTCGTAGTACATAAAATACTTGTATTTAACGGTTCTATTTAAAAGTATTTATTTATTCATTTATTGCATGTCACATAACATTCATAATCTCTTATCTATTAGACAAGTCCGTCCGTCCGTCTGTCTGTGGTGCTGTTTCAGCGGCCAAACCGTAAGAGATAGATAAAGAGAATGTTTAAGTTATAAGTTAATAATAGTCTGATAAGACTACAAACCGGATTTGAGTAACGTAGCACTTCCGGTTTTCGAGAAATCACGAATTTCAAACGAAACCACACAAAATCTCCGAAATTCTCAATTAATTAAATACATTTTTTTTAATTGGTGAACATTTGGTTCACTGGTTTGCTAGTGGTACATTAATTTATGTAAAGTAAATATGTGACGCCCTGCAAGAGCATAGCAAATATCAAGCCAGAGGGCTTGTTAAATAATTATATTATAATACTTAGTTCACATTTCATTTTTACACAACAATTATATTTTATAAAATAGATTTAAGTACCCAATTGTATTTGAAACTGTTCACGCCTTTTGGAATGGTGGAGCGTGATGGAATTTACTTTTAGAAATAAACTCACATTGAATTTTGATGGATTTAATTATTGAACGAATTTTGATGTTGCCACAAGAGGCGTGTGAGATGTAATGAAAGAACAGTAAAAATATCAAGCAAGATTTCTGAGTACGGCGACATTGCTGCCACGAGTCTGGTAGGCGTTACCATACTCCCCCCCGTTGAAGAAGATCTTCAACTTCTTACGCTTCATCATCGTTCAGAAGAGGACAGAGGCGAACCAGGGGCCGTCGATAGGTTCCCATGTTTGTCTTCACGTCCGCGACGCGGGATATTCCGTCAGCTCCTGAGTACAAATTGGTAACTCGTCCAGTGCGCCAACATAGAGGTGGAAGAGTGTCTTCACAGAGCAAGACCAAGTCTCCAATCTTTAATTGAGTTGTATTTTGCTTCTATTTTCTTCGGACTTGCAATTCTGACAAGTACTCCATGTGCCACCTTGTCCAAAAGTGCTGGCGTAGCTTTTCCAGGCGGGCAAAGCGATTCAGTCGACTTTCGTTTTCAGCTTCCAGATCAGGTGATTCAATTGAATTTAGTGGTCTTCCAATGAGGAAGTGCCCTGGGGAGAGGAAAAGGAGATCCTCGGGAGATGATGATAAGGGACACAAGGGACGACTGTTTAATATAGCTTCCACCTGTGCAAAGAGAGTAGAAATCTCCTCAAAAGTTAAATGGGTCGTGCACATAACACGTCTTAAAATTCTTTTGGAACTTTTAATTAAAGATTCCCAAGTCCCACCAAAGTGGGGAGCGTAAGAGGGTGTAAATGAAAATTTTATGCCTTCGTGAGCGGCAAACTCAGACAATATTTCGGTCTGTTTATTTAGAAACAGATCAAGCTCTTTAGCTACAAAATTGCGACCATTGTCGGAAAATACACTCGATGGTCGGCCTCGACGTGATACG